TGAACCGGTGTTTCATTCTGTTTTATGATAGATAATGTATCAAATAATCTCTCATTATCGAAAATTTGATTGAGTTTTAGTGCGAATTGGGTTATTAGATGAGTTGTGTATATTCGTCGTATTTGAGAGTGACATATACGATGAGGTTAATCTAAATTTTGATTTATTTTTTACGTGCGATTAGGCAGGTTAACTGCTAGATAACGGATAACCGACAACAATTAATGAGGTGTTAGTTCATTTTGACAACGCACGTTTCATATAGACGTACGAGTTAAATAGCGGTAAAGCTTACAAAAAATCGGGTCATTTAATAACTTATTAATGTATGAATTTGGACGTGACATCAATGTCACTGGCGCAGTAATTCACTTCGTTGTCTTCATCTCGGCTAAAGGCAAAAAACGATCAAATTTTATCAATTTCTGTTCCTATTCCTTCATAGAATAATATACTTTTTTTTGAATCCAGAAGTTATTCTACGCAAGTTTATATCGGTAATATCAGGAAGGAGTGATTGATTTCGTTATATACTATCGTTCTTGCCGTTTGAACATCAATATTATTCATAGACTTAACATCACTGACTCGATTCATAATAACAATACTAACACAAACTTTCCTTTTGTCGAACCTTCATTGCTACTCTAAATATTATTTTCCGATGCACATACACGAATACATATAGTTGAAAATTACAAGCTCGAAATGTGATAAAAAGATAAACACTATCAACCCAATTCAAGATCCATGTGAGAACATAAACTAATCTTTTTTAACAAGAACTACAATTTCAGGTCAATTTCCAGAGCATATTGCTTAAGACGGTTAATCCAAGGTGGCCTATTCTTGAGAACAGTTCTCTTTGTGGTGTAAATAACCTGCTCCTGGTAAGAGTCATACATTTCCTTCGGTAAGACAAAATAAAATTTGATATCAAAATTATCGTTCTTATTAATATATTTTTCTAATCCACTCTTTATAATAGGATGACTCTCAGAAATAGTCATCTGGAAGAATGTGTCGGGTAAAACGAGCGCATCAAAAGACGCGTTATTCTTTTGAGTTGGAATACAGTACTCATTAGGAACAATCTCACTAATATTACTGAACAGCCGTTTGTTCCGAGTGGGTATTGACAGTTTTGAATTGTACATCCCGAAGCAGGAGACAGTCGATGCAAATAAAGGGCGAGCATTAAACGATCCTCCTTTTAATAACTTTCTGTGAGCAATCCGTTCGAATATAGCGCCCCGGAGTGTACTGTAATCGCTAATTGGTGAACTAGCTTTCACGAAATTCTCCAACTGATCTCTATAATTCTTAATGAGTTTGTCCATTACCTCTTCAGAAACATAATCGGACGCAAACTCTAAAGTTGACATTGAATAGAAAGGATCACCATTCCCTATAACACTTTTCCTTTTATCTGGTCTAGTTACTGATCTAGTTACTGCGGAAGATTGTGACGTAGAGGGCTCTCCAGGATTATCTTCTACTTCCGTTATTTCCACATCTCCCACACTTTCACCTCCTTCTTCTCCATCCTCTCCTTTTGGTATGTTCGTGCAGATATGGACGATCTTATGACTGGCGCTATTGTCGTCTGTGGTCTCACCAACAAAATTTAACAAATTATCGTTAACCGAATTAATTGCACTTTGAAGAAGATTTTGCTGAGAAACATTGAGAGCATAAAATAAGGTAAACCGAGGAATTCCACCCCATTTATTATATAATTTCCGAACATGTCCTTGAGTAAGATTACGGAAAAGCTTAATCCTGCATGCATCGATCTCTTCCCAAGACCATACCGGCATATACCGGATAGTTGTTCCAAGCTTGTCAAAGCTACTATAATGACGTTTCTGGGGTGAACAAATGAGAATTGTCTTGGCGACATATTCCTTCGGTTTCCTACCATCTACGATATACCAAACTTCTTCATTTGCCAGGTAATCTTTGAATGCATGAATATTGTCATCGATGTGACTGAAAGCATCTTTCTCACTGAAGAGGATCGGAGACTTGTCAAGTCTGTGATATACAACTGTTTTATGTTGTTGTGAAAGGAGATAAAGTAGATAATAACCAAAGAAGGTTTTCCCAATTCCCGGATTACCAGTAATACGCCAACGACGGATATTTTCATTCTCAAAAATAATATTACTCAGGTGGTGATAACATTCACGGATGAACAGAGCGGATATATCGGAACCTTGCTCATCTTTGCCTAGAAGATAGTAAACGTCCCCAGATAATTCAAGGAACTGGCCACCATCATGCTCCTCAACTTTCCCACCCTTCAAAGCATTCCAAAACCTTAGCAGTTTTTCATCATCATCATTACCGTATTTTCTTCGTTTACTAGGGGATTCTATATATCAGAAAATTATTAGCGTAACGAGAACGAAACAACGGCTATCGAAAATCAAGCCAAGACGCGTTCATTCCATCGACTAAATTTATTACGACTCACCAGCAACGGGTTGATCTACGATAACGCGAATGTGTTTTTGGGGCGGGTTTAACGATAAGGAGCAGGAAAGAAAAGCACAAGTAAGTATTCGGTATTATTGGTGAATATGACACGATTAAAAGAGAACATACCAGGCT